CTCCTTTTTCCCACATTTCCTTGTTCCAACCATGTTTGCTATAGCCGATGCACCATGCTCGCATCCATGTGGGTATCAGCTGCGATTTGACGTAAGGACCAACCCGCCCTTCTCAGTCCGATCACCATACCCCTTGTAAAATCGTCTATCTGCTGGAAGTGTCTTCGTTGGCAGGGGCTTGGGCATTCTCTCCTATTATACGTATCCTCCGGGACAAAAACCAACTTTCTTTGATAATTTGTCTGGCAGAAATAACGACACGAATTGCCTATTCCACACGTTCCTTCCCTTATACCTTACCTCACGTGCGTCGGAGAGCTGCGCATTTCACATCATTCTCATAACTCAGTGACATGCGTCTACTCTAAAATTTGCATAAATTTCTGACTACTCCTTCTTGGTGTTGCATTTTCAACGTCGAGCAGTGTATTTTCTTCACTGCACTTGGAAAAAATATCCAAACCTTTTCTCGCTTCTTCCTGTATAACTAATTATAAATTTTCTCTATATTTATTCCATCTCTGTTATATATTATTTTTTGATTTTCTAAATAGCTAGAAATAATTTTATACAAATTTATTGGGCATTTTAATCTGAGTAGATTCAACTTTATGCTTGGCCTCCATAGTTCATTAAAAGCATTTCTAATATCTACTAATATCAGTGCAGTATGTAAATTATTCCCTTTTATTTTCTTCCACAATTCTTTTTACATTTTCAATTGCTAATATTGTATCTTTTCTAGACATGAATCTATACTGGTTTTCATTCATTAATTTATTGCTTTTCAAATGAAAACATAATCTATCATTAATCAGCTTGTCCAAAACTTTTCCAAAAGAAGACAGAAAGCAATATAGGTCTATATGCCCAAGGATTAGTTGGATTTTTTCCTGGTTTTGAAAATAGAATTAAGCAGGTAGCTTTCCAAACTTAAGAAAATATCCCTCTTCTAAACATCTGTTAACCCTCCACGTATGGCAGCAGCGATTTCCATGGGATACGAAATCCGTCTCACAATACGAGTTGCGTGAAAATAGCGTGCATAAGTTTATTTCTCTTATTTTCAATATGGATCCCGCTTTTTCTCTTGTGTAGGCTAAGAATATTATAATTTTTATATTTTACATTTTGTTTTCCAACTAGATGACACTACAGCTTTATAGCATTGTAAGGGAATACTGTTTTTTACGTTACACAATTTCTTCATTCTGTTGTAATGAAATCTATATCGAAATACCTGCTAACCTAATGAGATTGTCATTGGTCTTATCTGCATAGCAACTGGCTGTTATGATGCAATTAAATACAATATTTACTGGCTTGAGGGAAAAAGCTTAACCCATGTCATACCAAGCATTGAAAAAATTAATATTTTTTTATAAATTCTTAAGTATGTGTTTCTCTAAGTCTATGTATACATATAAAACCAAAAACTTCAAATTTTTATTAGTTTGATCAATACAGCATGTCCTAAAAATAGGACAAGGGTATAATCTACCGCTAATCATTCTTACTTGGGAATGGGAGAAAGCATCTTAAGCATAGTTCAGCATTACATTTTTTACAGGTAATTGTTAATTTTGCTGCACAGGTTTTTAGCTAGCTTCTTCTTTGTCTGTCTTCTGGGATTTTTCACAATAACATGTTCATTTTGAAGTTTATATAGAAAATCTTCATGAGCCTGTTAAACACCCAGTTTTCTTGAAGTAGAAAGTCCGAAACAGGCCTGTTATAGTCAAAGGACAAGGAGAAAAGTGGGCACTCTGAAATTATGAGACTAATGTTTGAGAAAGAGATAGTTTCTATTTAATTTTCAAGTATATTGTTGCAAAATAAAACTTGCGGTTGTCACCGAAACATACCCAAACTGGCAAGAGATGACAAACAATGTGTAACCAGTGGCTACTCTGAACAGCAAGGGTGGACCATGCAGAGATCTAAAGACAAGCATTTACTCTAAAATGGGGAAGGTAATGCTGGTACAATTGTACTATAGCTGGCATTAAAGGAAATAATTTTCCTGGTACAAAAATTGTACCGCCAGCTTTAAAAAGTTAATATTTAGTTGTTGGTATATTTGAATTATAAAGTGTATCTAACAAAAAAACTTACAGGTACCAAATTTTAGATATGTTAGCATATGTTTTACATAAATATTTTTTATTTTGTTTAAAAAAATTCTGGCCCATGGTACTGCTTTCAGGTCACGCATTTGGCCTGCATGCAAATTTGAGTTTGAGACCTTTGCTCTACTTTATAGATCATTTGCCATTATGAGTCATTACATAACTACCAGTTTACTAATTTAATAGGATTAAGACTGATCCAACGCAAATTAAATGCCAATACCTTGCTTGCTGACAAAATTCTTCAATGCTAAAAAAGATGCCATTATGTGAATAATAAATAAAAAGTAAAGAACAAACTTGACTTTTGGCTGAGATAGTATGTCTTTCTGTCCGATTTCGTTGGTATAGAACAGGGGCTCTGATCCATGGGGGAATTCCCTTTGGGAAGGAATTTCATACTTTTAGAAGGGTGCAGTCAGGCTTTTATTTAGCTGTTAAATATTTAGTTTATGAATATAAGAAAATAGTTTTATTCAATTTTTGATATTTATCAGCATCTATTGTTTAATTTATAAAACATGCTAAAAATAATCTAAATATACATATATATATACTAGCAGCTTCGCTGCCAGCCTTCGTCTGGCTTTTAAATGTATCAGAAAAATGGCTGAAGGGAACACCAAGTGTTAAATTTAAAAACTGCTTAAAATTTTACTCCGCAGAACAACTTCATAAAAAAAAGTTATACTTATAACAAAATTACAATGAAATAAGCAATACCCCTTAATACAAATATTAATTATCCTAATAAATAAATTAACTAACTTCCCTTTTCAAAATCTTAAGAACTCAAATGGTATAAAGGAGGTTAAAAACTTTGTTTCCTAAAAAAATCACTCAAAACTTTTCAATATCTCAAAGACAGTGAAATGTGTAATAAATAACATAAAAGAATACAAAAACAAAAAATTCTGAAAAGCAAAGTATAATTAATGCTATTTTATCTTATTTTTTCAAGAGAAAAAAATTACAATGAAATAAGATATATCCCTTAATACAAATATTAATGATCATAATAAAAAAAATTAACCAACTTTCCATTGAAGGAAAAAAATCATTCAGAACTTTTCAATATCTTATAGTGAAATAAGCAAAAAATAACATGAAAGAAACTCAAAAACAAAAAAATTCCACACAGAATTTTACTCTGCAGAACATTTTTATCAAAAAGAAAAAAAAATCAATAAAAATGTATTATATATATAAAAAAATGACAATGAAATATGCCAATCTCTTAAAACCAGTGACATAAGAAATCCGATGAAAAATTGTTGCCAAACCCATATTTCTAAAAGAATGAAACTATTCAAAATGATGCGATTTCATCAAAAATCTATCAACAACAATAAGAAAGGAAAATTGTTGCCAAAATCACATTTTTAAAGATGTGAGATGTGAGAAGTGTACTCGGAAGTTTCATTTAAAAAAATTTTTTTTTAATACAAAAATTATCATTTTTCCAAAATTCTTTTTGTAAAAGCAGTCGCAAGGATGAAAGTGTAATGTGTCCAAAAATCAAAGGAAAGTAAACTTTTTTAGAAAAATCCCGTTGAAAAGGTGTTAAGCTCGCTTTGTTAAATAAATTTGTATTTAATCGATTTATTGAAACAAAAAATTTATTTTAAGTTCGTAAAATAGATAAGTGCCCACGTTTCATGATGATGTGAAAATGGAGTGTGTAGAGTAAAATCTCGCTTTCCTATATGCCCATTATGTCTCAAAATGACGTGATTTCATCACAAAACATAAAATAAAAAAAAATTCGAATTTCGAAAAGATCGCTTCGAGGTGCACTGGCTCTTGTCTACATATACCTATGTACCAAATTTCGTAGCCATGGGTCTCTATTAGCTTATGCGCAGCGCAAGCGAAAGACACACACACAGACAGACTCTTTCTTTTATTATATGTAGAGATATTTGAGTTTGGGAAATAGGGGCATGCTCATCTAGTAAGGTGAAAAGAGTGAGGCAAAAAGTTGAGAAGCACTGGCATAGATGAAAGATTTTAGGTTAGATTAGTTATACATTAGGTGTTTCCTGTTGTATAAATAATATCAAATTTGCTTAAAGTCTATGTATGTATATATGATTAATGAAAAAAAATCATTTCCTTTTTCATTTTATGCTGAAAAGTACACCCCTTTCTTGTAATACTGAATTCATTTAATTGTTTTTTAAACTGAGGTAGGCAAATAATGTAAATTGGTGTATTTTTAAATTCTATAATTTATATGCAATTAAATTAAATGCACATTTTCTGCAAAATTACGAAGGTAAAGTGATTTTTATTGTTTACTTAAATTCCACATTCGCTATATATAAGCTTATCTGAATGAGATGTATTTTACATAAATGAAATGAGTGAATTTAGACTCTTATATCAATAAACAAATAGAGTATGATTATAATTTGATGAAAAAATCTAAGTTATAAAATTATAATCTGTATATCTCTTTCCTAATCAGTTTTTTATATTTAAAAGAAATAAAACTGTGTAGAAATAATAAATTAAAAGTATAAACATAACAGTTCTAGAATGAATTAGTGAAGTATATGAAACAATGTTCAAAGTTTGGTATTGTAGGAAAAGGGAAAAATTGAAATCTTTCTTTCCTATGATGTACGATAAAGTAAAAGCTTCAGTATATTTCATTATTGCAATTGATAATATATTGCATATTTCTACTAAATTTTGCCATTTTATTTGTTGTGAAGCTGGAAATCTAGAAGTAGGTAATGTTTTAAAAACTCAGTGATACAATGCCCATATGCAACCATCTTTAATAATATATTTTCAGGTTCAAATATATTAAATGAATTTTTGTGTGATTTAATGCTATTAAATTGGAACTATTTTTCTGTTCAGGTTCCTTATCCAATCTCAAATATATCTGAGTCTCATCATCCAGTTAAAATAGGAATATCTGATGCATATATTCTGGAAACATCACTATTTTGTAAGTAAAATTTTTTATTTATATGTGATATGGATAGTGCTTCTGGCTGTTCAAAATTAAGTTTTCATTCATCTATTTGTATTTAACTGATGAAGAATTCTAATTTATATTATTATTTTTTTAAGTTGTACGAAGGAAAACTATATATGAATATCACAGAATAGATTTACTGAAAAGGAATATTACCAATAATACTGCTTTGTATTTTAGTGCTTTGCCAAGTAAGTATTTTTAACTTTGTACCTTCTAAAATGATTTTAGAATGCATTTGGTTGAAATTTATTTAACTTTTCTTTTTCTTGTAAGGAAGGCTCTGTAATTGAAAAGTTTCGATATTGAACCCATTTTCAAATTTTATTCCAATGTTAAAATGTGTTTTTCTGTTTGAATCTTTTCTTTATTGAATTATACATGTCAAAAAATTTTCTCTAAAAAATTATAAATGCTAATTTGATATTTCAGTCGAGAAAACATACTTCCATCATCAACTTCTTCCAGCTGTGGTAACATTTTCATAAACATGAGAATGTATCTGTTGTGTTATTTATTTCTATAAAAAAGAAACAAGTAAAATAGAATGACACACTGTAAAAATTCTGTGACGATACAGTCAACTAACGAAAATCTGGCAACCTGGAATCCACATTGACTCTCAAAATATAAGCATTCAATTTATAGGCTCTGGAGACTGCAACATGCAGAACAAAATACCGAAGAAAAAATACTTAATAATGACGTCATAATTACTGAACAATGAGTCATAACAGAAATACCCCAGCTGGAAATACCAAATTATTGAAATCATGGTAAGAGTCCCCCTCCTATCCTGCATCAAGGTAAAAAAGCAGTTAATTCACTCAATTTTTCTAATTTCACAATTCACGTTGTTTTAATTTCTGAGCTTTGTTATTTCATGAGATAGTTTACTTTTTTATTTAATTATCTAATTGGATTAAAAATATTTTAAATTTATGTTTTTTTTAATACAGTGACTGATAAACGAATTCAGGATTCTACTGCTTGCAATGTTAAAAACATAAACACGTTGTATTGATGGTAATATAAAAAATGGAAATTTTGCAAAAGATGGAGGCAGGTACTACTCCTTGGCTTATAGCAGAATCGTATGGAATTGTGACACGCACCATATACGATATACAGAAAAATAAAGAAAAGCTGTTGAAATTTTACAGCAACAGTGATTCTAACACTGGAATCCAAAACCAGAAATCTTTTCTTGATGCGGTATCGGTAAACCTTGTTACTGTCTTATACAAGTGGTTGCGGCAGCAGTGATTGGGGTACCAATTTCATCCTGAGAGAAAAGAGAAAACAGACTCATGTGGATTTAAAAATAGAGGAGGCATGCGGTTTCAGCAGCGGTTGGTTGAAGATCTAAGCAAAGACACTGTATACGTTATCTGAAAACATGGGGGAAAACTTTCAGCAGATGAAGATGCTGCAGAGGTATTTATTGACGAATTTTCTGTGTTAATGGCAGAAGAAAAATCGTAGTCCAGAAAAGGTTTTAATATGGACGAGACGGGACTTTTTTGGCAATGTTCGTTAGTAAAGACATTTGTGGCAAGCAAAAAAAGTGCTCCGTCAGGGATGAAAGAAGCTAAAGAAAGAATTGCTATTTTAGTATGCAGCTGGAATGTAGGAATGTAGGAATGTAAACCAGTGGTAGTGGAAGATATCACTGAATGGATGATGTGTCGAGCACCAATCCCAGAGCTCTGTTAAGAGTAAAATCTTTTTCTGTGATTTACAGAAATAATAAAAATTCTTGGTTAACAAAACGATTTATGACCGAATGGTTCATGCACCATTTCATTAAAGAGGCTAGAAAGCACTGTAATAATGTGTGGTTACCATCAAAATGTAAGTTTTACTATTGTTAGACAACTGCTCTGCACATCCAGATGCAACCATTTTGACATCTGATAATGATGTGGCCCCTTTTTTGTCCCCAAACACTACATCATTGATCCAGCCAATGGACCATAATACACAGTATTAAATGCCAATGAACCATAATACACAGTATTAAATGCCACTATAAATCAGAGTTTCTGAAAAAAAGTTCTTTCAAGGGACCATTCTATTTCATGTTGTGTTTATAAAAAAAGTTCACCATCAAAGTCTGCATTTATTTGTTAGCTGATCATAGAAATCTGTTTCCTAAACAACATTAGTAAATGCCTAGCGTAATGTGTGGCCATCTCTCTTTATTGAAACTGAGTGGTGACTCTGAATTTTCTGGTTTTAGGGTCAAGCAAGAGTTAAAGCAAGAGAATTGCTTTTATATTCGAAAGAAGAATAAATGAAGAGGCTTTGCAAGAAAACGATATCATTGAATGGATGATGTGGTCGGATGAACCAACAACTGGCATATCAGATGACCAATAATGAAATCATTGGCTCTATTTTAAACTCTCCACAGCAAGAAAACAATTTCTACACCGAAACAGATAGTGAACATGGTGAATGATACCTAAAATTTTTAGAACAACAGTGCTGTATCACAGAGCAAAAGATTATGACTCTATATAATTTACAAAAAAAATTTACTCTGGAGCACTCTAAAGTTTTAAAATAAACCTGTATTAAAAAAATGTTTGAAACATGTAAAAAAATGAATATTTTATCCTTTATTAATATCCCTCATTTTTATGTCTTTATCGTATATACTTTTAAATATCCCTGTCGTCACTAATATAAATGAATAGTATAATATAAAAAATATATATAATAATAATTTAATATAATAAATTAATGCAATAATGTGTATTATTGTAACTAACGGAAGTACCCAATGCCAGTTAAGTTAGATTGAGAGCAATGTATCTAACAACAGAGAGAACAATATCACTGTAATCTTTTTCTAATAATGATGAAAAAATATGATTCATAGTTATACATTTTTCAGTCTGATAAGCTATGGAACCCGCATAAAAACTCACAAGAGTAGTTTAGTTTATTAATTTAGAATTAGTTTATTTTCTATAGCTATAGAAAATAAACTAATTCTATGTCATTATATCAGCAACAATGGCACGCAATTTTTAATGATGTTCATCTTTCTAATCAAATGGTCATAAAAGATCAAGTTCCGTACAATATTTCACCTATATTCAGTTTTAGTTGATTTAATGTCGCAAAAAATTTATCATAGATGATTAGAAATCAGTAACACGAACAAACACACACACAGACAGACATTCTTTATATATATACGTTTTGTAAAACTTACAAATTTTCAATTAACAAACGCTATGATTTGAAAGCAAGCAGTAGCAGCACTTTTCAAAATAAAGCATTTTTACCTCCAATGCGTGAGACTGTTGCCACTGAGAGAAATGAGGGTAAAAATTAGTGTTTTCAGAGTTATTAATTAATATCTCAGCTGATTAAAGTCACACAAAGATGGGAACAGTTAAAATGGCTTCCCATGAATTTTTGGAATTGGAAATAATGTATTTAATGTTTGCCAAAGCTATTTTTATTTCATTGTAAATCTTAGAAATTTTTATTAACAAACTCTACAGTTTGAAAGCATGCAGTGGCAACTCTTCTCGAAATAAAGCAGATTTTTATCTCCAGCGATCTCTGAATTTATCTTTTTTTTTTTTTTTTTTTTTTTTAAGTGGACATCGACCTTTTCCAGGACTCCAAAAAGAATTGTAGAAAATTTGGTGACGATAGCTATAGTAATGACTGAGTTAATTGCAAACAAACACACAAACAGACATTCTTCATTATAGATAATGTATATAATAATTTAATTAAATGTGTCTAATATGCCTTATTTATTTTGCATTTTTAGTCTGAATATTATGATATGTCTTTTCTGTCCCGAAATCTGCAACCTCTGGTCCTAAGCATTGCAGATTTCTGGAGTTCTGCTGTACTTACTTTGAAAGTGAGAATGTTATAAAAAATCACAAAACATTTAACTTAACGATGGCTGATGTAATATTTCTGCAGAAAATTCTTGGGCCCATGCTGTCATGTGATAGAAAGGGTTCCTCTTTTTGTTTTGTTGCAGATTTCTTGTTCTTCTTTTTTGTTTTTGTTCTTCCTCTTTTTGTTTGTTTACATTCATTCTGTTGTCTAATAAACACTTATAGGTTTTTAACCAAATAAAATAAACTAGATGTTCAAAATAATTGGTAATGTAAATTAATTCTTTTAACATTTCTTCAGTATTATATGTTATATATTGTGTCTTATAAAATTAAATTGGAAATGAGAAATGTTAAGCTTTTCAGAAGAAAAGTTGATTTTATATCTTTCGTTCAGCCCAATTATTTGTTACTGAACAGAAGTTGTTCTTACTGAATGAAGCTTCTTATTTCTAATCCTCATGTTAATTTATGTTGCTCTAACTTATAATAAAAAATATTTAGATGAAACCATTTTAAAATTTCAAGAACTACATAATTATGAAATTCTACTACTATTATCGTATATGGTAATCTGAGAAGCTTAATGATACAGGAAAATTATGTTACTGATGCTGGAAATCTTTTGTTATGTATTTTGCTCACCTTTAATAAAATATTCTGCATTCTTTACTGATAGTTTTCTATTAACACACATAATGAATGTAAAAGTAAAGTAATGAATAATGAAAAAAATCTGATTTTATTGAACCTTCCTTTTATGTAATCAGATTAAATATTGTACTGTGTTCGGGTTGATTATATGTAGGAACAAACTTTTGAAAGGATTCTGATGAATGTGTTTATAAATGATTTCACCATTGTTTATAAAAGACCACAACAGAACACTGATTTGTTATGTTTCTATTTATCTTTTAAGGAATGTCACATATAAATGATTGATTGATGTAATAAAAAATAATCACAAAATGTTTACTCTTAATTTATTTATTTTAGCATGCAGTAGTTTTAAAGATTGCATGTCTTGTATGGCTGCTGATGCAAAATTAGAATGTAATTGGTGTGAAGCTGTTAAACGGTGCTCTGATGGAATTGATCGCTTAAGGCAAAACTGGATTAGTAATGGCTGTATGCATGTGGTAAGTTTCTGTTTGATTTTGCATGTCATTTTTTAAAAACTAATATGTTGCATTCTAATAAAAATATCTCATTATTGAAATGTAATTTTAATCAGTTTACATGTATTATAGCTTGATATTCTTTTTAGAGAACATACAGTTGCCCTGCTTCATCTGTTTCAACTTCTACAGGTGAGTTCATTCCATAAAAATTTATTTCTATTGAATGTGTATTGGTTCTATAATGAAATTAACAATTAAGAAAACAAAGTTTATAAAATAAGCATGCAAGGGTATTTTAATGTAAGTACAAACAATTTGTAAGTTATTAAATAAGCAAAGAAATGTTTCTTTTTAAGTTTTTGAAACAAAACCATAATTTAAAAATATAAAGCATGTACTTTATTAAAATTAAAAATCTTAACTAAATAAAATGACTTTTTAAAATTTATTTAATTAATTTTGAATTCACTTAATAATTTTAAAAAATTAATTATCTTATTTAGCTAAAAATTCTGGAATAGCTGCAACTTAGCCATAATTATCAAATGATGCTGTTTAAGGCTGCGAGTTCATATAAAATAGTTACTAAATTTTAAAAAGTATGTTGTTAAGTAAAAGAAATATTAATATATAAATTAAGTATAAAAAATTCTTTTAAATGTTTTGTGACTACATGTCAAAATGGTAATTTTATCTGCCGTAAATAGTTCTTGGCAAAATTTGACTGAAGTTAACTTCTCACGGCAGTTTTTTTTTTTTTTTTTTTTTTTTAACATACTTCCTTCTCTTATTCTTATCATCTATCTTTTTGTACTATCTTCTGTCTGCATTTTTCAAAAATGCTTTGTCAAAACAGACTTTCTTTAGTAATGTCCAACTTAATTTTATTTGAATTGGAACATTCTCAACTTTTCAGTATCATTCTACGAGTCTGAAAAAGCTGTTTACTTCCATAGTATTATTGCTCCAAATGCCTATAAATAATGCCTGCTGATGGGCTTACTGCCACAGACCAACTCCCTTTTCGACCTGTGTTGTTCAAATAAATCCAGTTTTTATCACAAGTGACAATCCGGTCGAGAATTTTGTCCTTGCATTGATATTCGAGCAGATTAGTGCAGGCCCGAACATGTCTATCCCATTCTGCTTGAGTCAGCTCATGTGACACCCAGCAATTGAAATTGTATGTCAAGTTTATGTGATCTGTAGCGCGACTAATGCACATGGCACTAACGTCTAACTCCTTAGCAAGTTTTTGAGTGATTACATGCTGATCTTCTTCCACAAGTTCACACAGGAAGGCCTCTTCAACACCAGTAGGTCGGCCAGAATGCTCTGCTGCTTGAATATCACAGTCCTTGTTTTTGAACTTTTGGTGCCAAACCTTCTCAGTGTCATGTGATACAATATTATTACCTAAAGCTGTACACATGATTTGGTGACATTTCTGTAACTGACTTTTTGCAACAGAACTGGAAGATCTAATCTGGAACCAACTAATCTGTTAGAGTGATATTTCCATTTCAGACACCTTGTACTTAATTTTTTTTTTAAACAAATTTCACAACAGAGTGTTCTAAAGCAGATTTTGTTTCTTTCAAATGCCAAAAATCATTTGACAGACTATGATTAAATATGCCAGTGTAAACTGATTGGGAAGGCAATATTTGCAGTGGCAGGAAACTTTCATTAAAACCCTATATTTAAATATATATGATTAGAACTTGTGTAATTAATTATTTATTATGATTCTGACTTGTGTTAAAACCTGATATTTAAATATGCATGATTAGAACTTATACAGTTAATTATTAGTTATGATTCTGATTGATATATAAAGAAGTTGATTATGATTGCTACTGATTTCTTATATTGCATCTCATTGATAATGAATTTCAGTGGTACTTGCATATTACTGCAATCACTTTGTCACCTTTGAAAAATTTTTCAAAATGCACCAAACTCTGGCAACCATCCACATAACAGTTCTTCAGTTTTAATAAGCAGTTTTGTCATTTTTGCTTGCGTTCTTTTGTAATTTTTTAAGTTTTGTTGATTTTTCTAATGAAATAGGAAATACTTTTTAACATAATTTTAAAATGTTTGCTTGTGGAATTTGCCTGCAATTAAAGAAATACTGATGTTACTTTCTCATGAGTACAATATTTTGCCACAAAACTACTGAAGGCAACAGCTGCTTTAAACCTATTTTTACAACCATCCCTCTGAAGCAACAAAAACCCACTTGTAAGTAGCTATATTGATTTGATTTGAGATAAATAAATTTAAATGCAAAATAGTATGTCTGTATGAAATAAATAATTTTTTGCAACTGTAAGTCATCTTTCTCTTTTTTAGGGGGAGGGTAAAATATCAAATGCACAAGGTGTTTGCACTAATGCACAAGTACCCTTTCAATGATTTTTAGATGATAGAAAATTAGTTTTTGAGTATAAATTCTGTGTTTGCTTATATTACTAAACCTTGAGTGAAGTTTAATATTATTCGTTGTATTAGATCAATCACTTAGTAGCACATCTCCAGGCAAAAGAGTTGAAATTACAACTAAATATTTAACTACTAAAGATGCAACATCTAAATCTGCATCAACATACAGTTTTGATTCTGGTTCTGGTGCATATAATTATGCTGAGTATAAATCTCAACAAGCTGCCCATTTCGTCCAAGGTGTGTAATTATCTTCATTTTTAATTTGTGTTATTTTATGATGTTTAGTTTTCCTCATTTCTTTTCTGTGTACATAGTTCTTTGAATAATTTATTTTCAATGTTTTTAAGCCTTATTGAAGTGTATATTGCTGAATGTATATAGTAGTAAGGAATAAGACTTTCTAATTCAGACTTGTATGGATTATTATTGGTGGAAGACTTCTTGAGGATCGAGTTTAAACTTTTATAGTAAAGCAGTAAACTCTTAATAACATATGATTTTGAATACTGACTGTGCAATGAAATTGCATTGTCTTTTGAATATGAACATAATTTATTTGAAAGAAGTAATTGTGTATTCTTACCATTTTGATAAATTTAAACTTTAATTATATTTTAAAAATGTGTATACTGAGTGCATAAATCTCTATTTCTATTTTGAAAATATTGTTGCATTTTCCTTTTTTGACACCAGTTGTTACGTTATTTTTTTACTTCACGTTCGTACGGGGTTCGTGAGGATTTGGAGTGAATAATGACAATACTACTTGAGAAAGTATTGAAACAAACACTATTGGCCAGTATTGTCATGACAGCTGCAAAACACATTTTTACAGTCATCGGTGAACTACTATAAATATGTTGACCCGATCAGTGACACAGCCTTCAGATTATCACGGTGGAGACAGCTTCACAACAAAGCACTAGAGTACAGCTCCCGACTCTGCTCGGTCGTTCTCGGAACTCCACGTACTCTCAAAACTCTCCATGCTACATGTCGCGATGCATTCGATGACACACAGAGCATAGCTCCCGACTCTTCGGTTCAATCGTTCCTGGAGCTCAACACGCTCTCTCGATGATGCACTAGCATGATTCACTACGAGACTCTTTCGGTGCACTCGACGACCCACTCGGCACTCTCTGCCCGGCTGTCAACTCTATTGACTCGCTAGACGAGACACCAACTCGATACTAACTATCTCGCACTCTCTGCGAGGCACACTCACTATCAGCTCTCTAGGCAAGACACTCACTAACTGACTGCGAACCAGCAGGGTTTATATAGCTTTCGGCTTGTGTTCGAGAACATTCTGGGCTAAAACGGTAAGAATTCGTTCCGGAAGGTTCTCCATCCGTCCATGGAATATCGTCAATTTTGTCGCCAAATGTGGTAACCCTGCCTTCCTTGTATTTTATAGCAACCCTAAAACTGCTTTGCGGGGGAAGCCACCTTACAGCACCTGTACATTTCGTAAGAATATCAATTAAAGTATTTTGAATTAAGTAAAATTTATTCATTTTACTGATTTTAATTTCTTTCATTTGCAGAAGAAGAAGAAACATTTCAACGCAGTATCAGTCCTGGAGCTATAGCTACAATTGTCATATTTCTTACTGCATTAATTGCTGCAGGAATTTGGGTTGCATATGCATATAAATTTCCTCAGACTCCATCAGGCCAATTCTTAATTAAGGTAAGTAAAATTTTTAATTTGTGCATATTTTATTTTAAAATAATTTTGAGGTTCATTAATTGCTGTATAGCTAAAATCAGTGATAGTTTATCCCTGAATTTAATTCTTGATGGCAGACTGTATTGCCTGCATAAGCAATACAGTCCTTGCATTTGATAATCTTCCATGAAAGCATTGTTCCAAAAATAGAAAATCATTAAATACTTTTGCAGTCATTGGAATTGGACTTAAATGGAGATTAGTTTCTTTCTTAAATTTCCATTTATGTTTCCTTAGTAATTTAAATCTTTATTTTCATGAAAAACAATAGTACATTTGGCTTTTTAAAGCAATAATAATCTTATTATATATGCCATTACAAAGTTAATTATACTGATGTCGTTCTTTAGCTGCTTTGGTTTTAATATTTGTTTCTCAGAATCTATAGTGCATTTTTTATGTATCCCCAAATAGACTGCCTGATGAAACAGCAACTTGAGTTACATTAAATGTTGTTTTTACCATATCTAAAAGCAACATTTGGACTTATTTTGCAAATTTAAAATTTTGCTATAAATTTTCTATGAAATAGTTGTAATAAATTGTGCATCCATTTTTTAATAAAATGTACAGTTTCTGTTTAAATTGTACATTTAAGATATGGATTTAAAAATTATGGTATGTAACATATTAGCAAAATGACCTTAAGAAGTTACAAATTTTCCAAATGTGACCGACTCTGGCAAGCATACACATTCTTAAGTCAGGCTGCATTGACATTTTTGTATTTGTTTGTATACTTCAGCAATTAACTGTTCTTGCCAGTGTACCAGTGTGCACTGCTAAATTTGTGTAATTCTCTTTTTAGCCCAAAGGGCATTAGCCCAGAAGGTCTATTAATTTTGTTTTGGCATTTTGCATTGGTTCATTATAAATGTTGATTCACTTTTCAAATATTAGAGCCCTGTGTTATATTTAAAGAAATTAAATAATAATAAATAATTTGTATAAATGTATGTATGTTTCTCGCATTATGATTAAGCAACAGTACCTAGAGCCATCAAATTTTGAATAATGTAATCTTCACTGAATATGGGCATCAGGAAGCCCAAATTTAGAATTTGAAATTTGTTTAATTATCGATTTCATATTTTGTAACACTTTAACGAATTTTTGATTAACAAACTCAGCAATTTCAAAGCGAGCAATAGCAATACTGTACGGAAAAAAACAAACATTTTTATCTCCAGCGCACAAGACTATGTATCAGAAATTCTAAAGATATGCTCGTGCAATATTGCTGTTGAATTGAATTTTATGGTTTAAGTGCGAAGAATATGATATTTAATAAATAAAGGTAGCACACAAAATGTTAAAAAACGCCCCTTTGGGCATAATGTAAATTCTGAAAGCTTTCGGTTTCTTGTTTGTTATTTGGTTTATTTTATTTTTACCCATATACGCTCAGCTGTACCTTATTTAATAATTAACATTGTATTTTGAATTGCTGAAGTATGTTTTCTTCTGATATTATTTGCTGATTTATGAGAATCCATAATTTGGCAATCTTTTAAAAAAAAAAATTCTCCAGCATGGCGAACTTGCACCAAATAAGTAACTTTTTTTTTAAAAGAATCTTGATTTGTGTGATCTTTTTTTTTTTTTCTTCTGGGAAAAATCGCCAAAATATGGCAAGGTGATTGCGTTAGTATAAAAATTATCTATTAACAAAATAATTTCCACTTTTCATTAAAAATGATTAATTTGCATGAATCAGTTATTTGGTTGTGAAGTTTTTAAAAAATCATCGGCTGCTAGGTGGTTAAAATCACTAAATATTTTATCTGGTGTTTGATTCCTGGCGAATGAATAGGATGATTTGTGGGATTTTCATAGCTGTAATCAATTTGGAGATCAAAAAAGAAATAATATGATTTTTTTTTTTTTTTTTTTTTACTTATCCTAATCGGTGGCCATTAGGCTAGACCCACAAGTCAAAATTCGTAAATAAATCCAAAACAAAAACAGGTCTTTTCAATAGGTCCTCCTTTACAAGTCCCAAACATGGGAAAAGATGTGCAGGAGTGATGTGCTCAGTATTACATTTCCTACAGCTAGAGTATATATTATTTCCTTTGCCAAATTTGAGGCATTTCAATGTCCACTTAGGAGCCTTGTGAAATTAGTCTGCTAAACCCAATTACCCCCCAAATCCATGAATCTTTTTTTCTTTTGGAGTTCTATTTTATGTGGTATTTTCTAATTTTTCAAAAATTTTTAATTGAAATTAAATTTAGTTTTGATTTTCTGTACAGAAATTTGTATTATTATCTTTTGAAAACAGTTTTTTAGTTATTTTATTCATTTTGTATAATATTTCAGTATCGCCCTAGCCAGTGGGCATTTAAAAAGGAAGATACTGGAGTCATTACAAATTCACGTCATTTGTAAAGAATTGTGATTATGCTCTGTGTAAAACAGGTATTACTTTCTATAGTTACAGTATTATATTGTGAAAAAGGTCTTACAGTTTTTTGCTGTGGTAATATTAATCTTTTAACAGAATAGGATTTTTAATTTTTAAAGAAGTATTTTTTCTATCTTGTTTTTTAAACTAAAACAACAAAAAAAAACTTCTGATAATCTCTTAAATCTTCAATATCTCTTGTATGTATTTGATTATCTGTAACTAGAAAATTTCTGTTTAAGTATTCATACTGTAAATGTGAACTTTTTTTTTTTTTTTTTTTTTAACATTTGAAGGTTTGTAACTAGAACATTTCTATTTCAGTATTCATAATTTAGATGTGCACTTTTTAAACATGTTGGAAGAATTTATTCTTTACAGATATCTTTTTTCATAAAATTCTGCTGAAACTTTTGGTAGCTTAACTATATTTACATGTTTTTAAAAAAAAGTAACTTGTTAGAGGTGAATGCCTTATCCAGAAATTTCAATACAGTTTTATTTCCTAATCATATTTTTTTTTTAATATTTGTTAAGTTTCAGCAGATTTTTATGTATTTTTTAAATGTTTTGCTAATGTTAATATTTTATAAGTTGTTTTAGAAAGGTCTTACGATTGTATCTCTTGAATTTTCGTTAAAGGGTCCTTGCTTAGTTTCTTGAATATAATCTCGATTTAAGAAAATAAGGTTTTCATAAAACCAATAGTTTGGGTCACTTAATAACTTACAGTAAAAATGTGCAAAATTTTAATAGTAAAGGGGAAGGAAACAGAAAAATGTTATTCAGAGGCATAATGCTATTGACATGTGATAAAACGGCCTGAGATATCTTTAAAATTTTTCTTCATAGAATTGGTGACTGTATGCAAGTTCATCTAAAGGCTACTCTGTGAGTAATTAGAAATTTCTGAAATATATCTTTTATGTCCAAGAAGCATGAAGATATAAGCATAGGTCACAATTCCCAATTTTTTAAAAAAAATACATTTCAGAATTTTGAATCTAACAAAAATCAGCTTTTACATTACCTCTAAAATTGACAACTCTGTCTTCTTTAGTTTTTCAAGACTGTATTATTTTATATTGCACAACCAGAATTTAAAATAAATAAATAAGGTTTAATTAAAGAGCAACTTATTTATTTGAACTCCCCCCTACATATTATTTTTATATTTTATATGTGTGTGACATTCCTAAAAATTTTAATAATAATATAATTTAATAATAATAAAATTTTAATAATAATATCTTATATAAAAGTAAATTATAAAGAGTTGTAATTTAGATTTCATTGAATGAGTAATTACATTGAGTTTTATTCTCGATAGAAATAAAATCCAGTATACTTTACTAAAAATTAAACTGATTTTTTTTTTTAAAATTTAAGATATAATTGAAATATAGTGAAAACATACAGCAAAATTCTTGTAATTGTTAAGTTTATCTTAATATGGAACAATATTTCTTTGCTTCATCTAACATTTATTAAATCTCTGAGACACAGTAAAATGAAAAATTATTAAAAACAGAATATTATAAAATAAAGTGTTTGCTTATAGGCAGCATTAACTGAAAATGCCTTGATTATTTATTAGGAAGAGAAATTTTGCCTTTGAGAGGAGTTCCTTCATTATGTATTTCATGTGCTTAAATTTTTCTTAGCTCCATAATATATATCAGTGTATCGTTTCCTGCTAAGATGCAAAATTTATTGATTCCTTGATTAAGCCATTTGATCTTTCAGTATGTATGCTGTACTGCATTCATCATCTAGAAAAATAAATGCTCTTAAAAAATATTTCTTGAAATTTTAATAACATTTAAATGTTTTAGTTTTATATCATGTAAATATGTTTATAATACATTGAGCAGCAGTTAATTATTAAAATTGTTTATCTGTATTAGTAATAAGATGGAAATTTAAGTTGTCAATGTCTGTAAAGAACTGATCAACATAATTTTTTCTTTCTCTACCAAGATCTGTCTGTTTTTTTTTTTTTCTTTATTTGCTGCATTTATATTTACTTAACTGTTTCTTAAAATATTTTGATATATTATAATTTGAAATAATAATGAAAATTATAAATTGTATTTTTTTCTCATTAACAAAAAGTGATACCTATGAATATCACTATTAATTTTGTTGGTTTTTGACAACAATAGCATTTGTTTCCGATTAACGAAAAGTGATACCCGTCAATATGTTATTAGATCTGTTATTCTTTTTCAACAGTTTCCTCTACTAAGTAATCCTGAATTTTTGTTCTACTAGTCGAAAAAAACTATGTGATGTAAATTTTTGCCCTTCTCTGAAGGGTTTTTAAAGTTTGAATGTACAACTAGAGATTATTTTATATTTTTGGGGGTATATGTAAGGATTTGTATATATATTTTTTTAACCAGAATTTTTTAGAATTTCCATACTTTTTTTAAAAAAAAAAGATATTTTATTCTGTCTGTAAAGAAATATAATGATATAACAAATCTTGAGTTGTTAATAAATGCATATATTTTATGGTGATAGAATTTAATGTTATTATGATGCATTTATAACTCTAGTCTAAATATATATTTTCTTTCCTTTGTATATTAAAAATATATTTGTTCCATAAATTCAAAAATTCACAATGTGTAGTTAGATATGATTTGCCCTGGGATTGTACAACTTCAGTTATTTCTAGGCTCCTATATTGTGATTTTAATATTATACTATATGATTTGTATTTTAAAATTAATTTCGTAATTCTAAATGTAAATCATGTGCAACATACTTAAAAACTGAAAGAATTTATTTAATTAATACTATGGATTATATTCTGAGTGCCATATAAATTGATGTATTTTAAACAGAAGTTTTATGGAATAGAAATAACATCATTTGAAGTATATAAAATTATTTGCATTTTTATTAATTATGCAGTTTCAGCTCATTTGAAATTCCATATTTTTTGTTATTTGTTTTTAATTTATCTACAATTGAATTTTATGTAATCTGGAATTCTTTTGCTAGTTAAAATAGAAAAATAAAAGTTTTATTTAAAAAAAGTTGTTAAATGTATCATACTGTACTTTGTAATTATTTCATTTATATAATAAAATATTTATGTATTTTGTGCAATGTTTAATATTATCTGATTTATATCATTTATTCATATACTAGCGACCCGCTCCAGCTTCCCACGGGTATAAAATATTAATGGATATTTTTACAATGAATCGCAGTTCATAATCTTTTTCTGAACTTACATACCTCACCTTAAATTACGATTTTTGAAAATAATTTCCCTAATATTAAATTGATTTAACTCTAAATTTTAACCAAGATCTTAATAGAAAATTCCAATTCATAAATTATGGTTTTATTTAATCTAATCTTATCTAACCTTATGTACTTATAATTACTATAAGTGCGATTTAAAAATTCATCTACCTTAGAATAGAATATAATTTATATTTTAAAACTACTATCATACAATTATTTATCGTAACTTACATAATAACTGATACGTTACGTTATTATGATACGTAAATAACTGATACGTTGTCGCGCTGAAAAAAGCACGTATTTATTAAGATATTGTTGTTTTCTCGCTAGAGTGCTCCGAAATAAACGCGTCCGATCGCTGCTAAATTCAAAGTGCTGTAGGGGAAACCGCGGCCTCCGACGCGTTATTTATAGGCACGCTCCCGCCGCCGCAAACGCTACGTCCCGCAATTTTTAAATCTGTAGACCTTTTCAATGTGTACAATACTTAGTACATTATTTTGATAAATCTCGTAGGTTCAGCCTGCGTTTGCAATGTAAGCGGAAAAAATGTAATTATTTACGACATCACATTAGAAACCTCAAAAATAACAGTATTTCTCCTCTATTTAATGGATGTTATTATACATATAAACCTTCCTCTTCAATCACTCTATCTATTAAAAAAAACTGCATCAAAATCCGTTGCGTAGTTTTAAAGATTTAAGCTTACATAGGGTTATAGGGACAGAGAAAGCGACTTTGTTTTATACTATGTAGTGATGAATCATTTAAGTATACTGAATTTTTTTAATGTTTAACCAATAATTATCGCATACTTGGCAGAAAAACAGAAAACTATCTGAATTTTTTTTTTCCTTTAGTGTGTATGCATGCATGCTTACATGTGCAAATTAGAGATAACCGTAACATTATATTTCATGTAGGGGTGAATATTCAAGCAACTGCAATTCAGCAGACTATATATTCCAGCAACTGGCAAATTACACATCTCGCACAATAGTGCTGTTGAATTATGATATGAGTTATTAATATTTCTGTAGCAGAATCATGAAATTATATATAAATTATGTATATATATTGTATATGTTCTCAGAGTTGCTAGTAAGGAAATGTGGAGGTTTTCTTTTTTGGAAGGAAAAGTAGGTGGTTTTGCAGATACTAAAATTAGAATCAAATTGTCTAATTTTTTCTTTCTTAAATTTGAAAAGAAATAATCTTTATCCTGATGCAGTGCTTTCAAACTTTATTGATTTGATTAAACCCATAAAACTCTTCTTCTTTGGTTTTGTGAAACCCATGTCACTTCTGAGAAGTAAGTGTTAGAAATAGATAGAGTATATATTGTGCACACTGTAGGAAAAAATGAAAAGAATTGACTAACTATAATTCCCAGAAATTCGTATTTAATATCAGCTTCATACATAAAATAGAGATACTTCTTAAAACTCTCTCATCAGAGTACAGGGTTTGAAAGCTCATTTTTGCAGAGTATTGAGTAGTTAGCATTCCAGTTACACAAATTATAATGTTAACAAATACCCAAAATTACATTCTTTGCATTTTTTAGTTAGGGGACACTAAAAATGCATAGTTTCTCATGTAAAACAGACTGATAAATAATTCTTTGTTATTCCGAAATTGATTTACTTTCATGTGATTGAAAATGGAATCATACTCAAAACAGAACCACTTCATTTAAAACAATTTTTTTTCTTTCTTTTATTAGGTTTTCAAATAAAAAATAGTATTAGTTAAGTTGAACCTGAACCTCTCGACGGCATGCTGGAAGGAGGGAGAAAATACCTTATAGTGTAATTAACAGATATTTAGCTGATTACAATTAGATATAAAAAAGCAAATTATTCCATGCATAATTCTTATTTTCATTCACATTCCATGATATATATATGGGTGTCCTAGGGTTATTATATAAATGTAGAGAAGCATCCCAAAAGTGTTTCCTACAGTATGCATACAATAATTTATTTATATTTACAGAAATTGACATTATTTTATAAGCAATATTTTTACTTGGCAGTACTCTAAAATCTTTTTCTAGAATTCTCTTCAGCTGCATTATATGTATCTGTAACAACAAAAATGGTGGAAATGGGCTTTAGCCTTGGCACAGTTCACACCAGCAAAATCATTAAAAATTATTGTGAATGGGTTTTAAGAGCCATTCTGTATGTTACATTTCATTAATACACAAATTTTGTGTAAGTGCACCAATCCCAGAGCTCCGAAAGGTGTATAATCCTTACCTGTGGTTTACACGAGTAATAAAAATTCCTGATTCACAAAACAACTTATGCCCGAATGGTTCATGGAGCGTTTCGTTAAGAAGGCTAGAAAGAATCATAACAGTGTGGGATTACCATCAAATTGCAAGATTTTACTATTGTTAAATAACTATTGTGCACATCCAGATGCAACCATTTTAACGTGATAATATCGTGACCCCATTTTATCCCCAAATACTATATCATTGATTCAACCAATGGACCAAGACGTAATACACAGTATTAAATGCCACTATAAATAAAAGTTCTTTCAAGTGACTATTCTATTTTATTTTGTGATTATGAAAAAATTTCACCATCAAAGACTGCATTTATTTGTTAGCTGAATCATGGAATTCTGTTTTCCAAACAACATAAATCCTGGTGTAATGTATGGCCATCTTCTCTGTTTATTGAAATTGAGAGTGGTGACAGTGAATTTTCTGGTTTTAGGGTTAATGAAGCAAGGGTTAAAGCAAGAGAATTGCTTTTATATTCGAAAGAAGGAATAAATGAGGAGGCTTTGCAAGAAGAAGATATCGTTGAATTGATGATGTGTTCAGGTGAGCCAACACTGACATATCAGATCACCGAAGATGAAATCATTGGCTTTGTTTTGAACTTGCCTCAGTGGGAAAACGATTCTGACACTGACACAGATAGCGAATTTGATAGGACTGAGAAAATATCTTTTAATAAGGGTTTGGAACATGGTGAAAAATACCTAAAATTTTTAGAACTGCAGAGCAAGAAATTATGACTATATAATTTACGAAAAAAAACTTACTCTGGAGCACCCTAAAGTTTTAAAACAAACCTCTGTGATAAAAATGTTTGAAACATGTAAAAAAAAAATAAATATTTTGTGCTTTAGTAATATTCCTGTAATCACTAATATAAAGGAATAATATATAAAATGTAACGCATATAATAAATTAATATAATAATGTATACGTATATTATTGTAATAATGTATATAATAATTTAATTAAATGTATCCAATATCCCTTATTTATTTTTCACTTTTTGACTGAATATTATGATTTATCTGTTCTGTCCTGAAATCCACACAACCTCTGGTCCCAGGCATTGCAGATTTTTTTATTTCTACTGTATTAACGTTTCATACAGAAATCAGCCGGAAGGTCCGAGAGGTTCTTATTGTCCTCCAGACGGAAGTCTAGCATATTATTTGCCATTCTTTCCACTATTTTACAACTGTTTGTTAAAGAAATTTGTCTGTAGCTAGATAGACCGTGACCTTCGAGAGGGAGAAGGCCATGACACTTAAAAAACATGGCGGAGCTTTCCATCCGATGTTATCGTCGGAAAGTCATCTGAATTTTTAAATTTTCGTCGGAAATATATAACTTTATCATGTTGCTTAGTTAATTAAAATAGCTGAAAGAAAGGAGGCTTTATATACATACACACTTTTAAAGCTTTTTACAGATATTTTAATTAACTTTGTGCATAAATATAATTGAGAGAACCGAAAAACAAACGAACATTTTACAAAAATTTAAACGTTAATTGAAAATTTGCCACTGTCATGATAAATTGGGAAGGGGTTTTTAAGATAATAATTAATATTTTACCTAGGCTCAAGTATTAAATTATTCGGGTTTCAGAGCAAAATATATAACCATCAACTTCTATATCTCCAGCGTATATAAAGGAAATACTTTGACATATTTAGTGTATGTGGTAATATTTTAAAAAACACATAAATTATGCAGTGTTTGAAAGTTACCAGAAAAAAGTAACAGAACTACTATTTCCATTTAATAAAAAATCATTTAATGTTTTTTAAATAGCAAGCTGTTAAAAGTACAATAATTAGTAGCAATGCTGATGATTTTTAACATCATTTCTTTCGATCATATGTAAATATATTTATATATACTAAATTTAGACAATGGCAGATTCTCACGGTCATTTTGTTCATTTTTTCGAATCTATGACATTCCTTTGAGTACTTTACCTTGGATACTGCGCAGAAATGATTTGAGTAATATACACAATAGTAAGAACTGAACATTTAAATCTGCTCTTCATTAAATAGCACAAAACAAAAAGTTTTTTCCCATTTATCTTGATTTTTTTTTTTTTTTCCCATCACAAGCATGTACAAAAATTAACAAATTAACGATGAAAATGGAATGTATTCAAATGTAATAATTAAAAAACATAACTTGCAACATTCGTATTCATACCAAGAGATATACTACAAATTCCAAGAGTAAAATAACAGAACTGCAATTTGCAGTTAATGTAAAATTTAATGTTTTTAAAAATTATATGATTAAAAGTGCAATAATTATGGATTACAATATTTAGTAGTAATGCTGATGTTTCTTAGCACCATTTCTTTCAATCATATACATATTTTTAGCTTCTAAATTTTAGGATAAAGGGAATTATTATCATGTATATGCTTTTTATTGCCAGTTGTGTATGTTGTTTGTTAGGTT